GTTGATTCAGGAGCTTATCGACAAGTTGAAGGGAGCAAAGGTTTTCACAAAGATGGATGTCCGATGGGGTTACAATAACATCCGGATCAAAGACGGTGATGAGTGGAAAGCGGCGTTTAGAACAAACCGAGGCTGTTCGAGCCATTAGTATGTTCTTCGGACTACAAACTCGCCGGCAACGTTCCAATCGTTCATGAATCACATCTGAAGGAGTTGATTGACGCGGACATGTTATAGTTTACCTGGATGATATACTTATCTTTACGAACACTCTCGAGGAGCATAGACAGATTGTACGAAGGTATTGGAGATATTACGAGTAAATAAGCTGTATTTAAAACCCGAGAAATGTAGTTTTGAGGCACATACTGTAGATTACTTAGGAGTTATTGTTGGAGGAGGAGAAGTGAAGATGGATCCGGCAAAAGTGGCCGTAGTGAAGGAATGGAAGGAGCCGACGAAGAAGAAGGAAGTGCAGTCATTCCTGGGCTTCTGCAACTTCTACCGACGTTTCATTCGGGGATTTGCGGGAGTAGCGAAGCCATTGACATCGCTAACCGGGAAGGGCGAGTGGGTTTGGGGCATGGAGCAGCACGAGGCGTTTGAGGAGTTGAAACGGAGGATGACGGAAGAACCCGTTCTGATTGTACCACGCGACGACGGCAAGTTTCGAGTCGAGGCGGACTCCTCGAACTATGCGAACGGGGCGGTTCTTTCCCAGTTTGTTGACGGAAAATGGAGACCAGTAGCTTTCCGATCTCGCGCGCTGAACGAAGTGGAGCGCAATTATGAGATCTACGACAAAGAGATGATGGCTATTATGGACTCGATCGACGACTGGCGGCAATATCTCCTAGGCGCTAAGGAGACAGTGGAGGTTTTACCGATCATCAAAACCTTCAGTACTTCAGGAACCCAGAAGTTGAACCGGAGGCAGGCGAGATGGGTTACGGAGTTGGCGGAGTATGACATACAATGATTCACAAGCCGGGCAAGACAATGGGGAAAGCTGATGCCTTGTCAAGGATGACAGGCCTTGAGAAGGGGGAAAAAGATAACGAAAACGTTGTTTTGCTCAACCGGAGTTTTTTATTTCACAAATTCAATTTTCTTTACATACAGTAGATACACCGGAGGACGAATTACTTAACAAAATCAAACAAAGAAAAGGAAACAAAGACAGATACGTACAAAAAGCATTAGAAAACAAAGAAAAAGGATGGGAAGAGAAGGAAAATGGACTTATTATATGGAAGATCGTATTTACATACCAAAGGACAAGGAATTGCGGGGAAAAGTTATTGGAATGCACCATGATGCACAGCTTGCAGGGCATCCGGGACGATACAAGACCCTCGAGTTGATCACACGCACCTATTGGTGGCCAGGAATCAGCCGAGACGTCCGGAATACGTAGAAGGGTGTCAAAAATGCCAGGTACAAAGTCACATCGCACGAAGCCGGCTGCACCTCTTCATCCTATTGATGTGCCAAGCGAGCCATGGGAGATAGTAGGGACGGACATGATTGGAGAGCTGCCGGAATCAGGAGGATACAACGCGATCAGCACGTTTGTGGACCATTTCACCAAGCGATTACGTATCATACCGACACACACCACTCTGACGTCAGAAGGCATGGCCCGCATTTACCGTGATCGCATTTTCCCCATACATGGGATGCCACGACAGATGATACATGATCGCGGTCCACAATACCACTCGCGTTTCATGAAGGAATTGTACCGGTTGTTGGGCATACAGGGAAACTTTACAACGGCGTATCATCCACAGGCAAATGGGCAGACGGAACGGTTGAACCAAGAGATAGAACATTTCTTACGGTTATTCGTCAACTATCATCAGAACGACTGGCATGAATGGCTACCCTCTGCTGAATTCGTTTACAACGATCGAGTTCACTCGGCGACCAAAGTCACTCCGTTCTTCGCAGACATGGGCAGACATCCCTACAAAGGCACCGCTCCGAAAACGGCATCGAGAAATGAGACTGCGCAGGAGTTTGCCGACGGCATGAGGAAGACATGGGATGAAGTGGGGTCAGCATTGAAGATGGCAAAAGAGGACATGAAACGGTTTTATGACAGGAAGCGAACAGAGGCAGTAGAGTACAAGGAAGGCGACAAAGTATGGCTGGAAGGGACGAATCTCAGCACGGATCGACCAATGAAGAAGCTCGATGACAAACGATTCGGGCCGTTCAAAGTGATCAAGAAAGTCGGGACGAGCTCTTACAAGCTCCAGATTCCTCACACGTGGAAAAGCATTCATCCCGTGTTCAATGAGGCCCTGCTGACGCCTTACCACGAGCCGCAATTTCCGACGCAACCCCGAGACACGCGTCCACCACCTGTGCTGGAAGGAGCCGAACCGGAATGGGAGGTCGAGAAAGTGGTGAATTCCCGGAAGTACCGCGGGGGTTTTCAATACAAGGTTCACTGGAAGGGTTATGGCACACACGAGCAGACATGGGAACCGGCATGCAATCTCAAAAATGCCGACGAAGCCATCAGTGATTTCCACCAACAATATCCGAACAAGCCAAAGCCACCCGCGCTTGCTCGCATTGAAGTCCCCATGTCGCAATTTCCATCACATCTTTTCCGACCCATGCCACCGCCCGATACCGAACCCCTCGACGTCACGCTACCCTCTGCAGCCCTCATGGAGCGACTCTGGCGCAGAATGGAACTTGCGCCTTAAGGAGGGGGTGATGTTATGAATCGCCATATTTTCACATTTTCACATCTTATCATATCTTATCGGGAGCCTTGTCTTATCAACCAACGGACCGTTTCATCATCTGTTTCGTCACCGATCATACCCTTTTCATTACCGAAGCCGTACTCATGTCGGACACACGCCCAACACATGGATGACATCATACATGCCGATACCTCATGGACTCCCTATTGTATACACACCGCCGACACTCGTAGTACACATGGTCGTTTCAGTATTATTACTTACATGCAGTCACCACTCGTATTTAATGGTTTCACGGACTAGTAGCATACAACACTGGGTCAAGGGCGTGGAGCATCCCTAGTGGAAACGCGTATGGACAAGGAGCTTCAAACACAGACTTAATAGTATATAAGCAGTAGTGTAGTATCATTGTACTTTAGTTCCGATCTCGTTTATACACCTGGCCTAGCCTAGTCTTACGAACGCGAACGCTTTCTTCCTTAGTTCTTGCTGTGGTACCTGGTGGAGTCTCGTGGCTTAGTCAGTCGCTAACACTCCACAGCTGATCGATCTGAAGGATCTGTGCCTTCCAATCCTTGTACTTCTCTGGCAACCCGTCTCGGCTACCATAGATCTGATCAATGATCTTTTCGTTGACGTTGGTCTCAAGAAGTCGCACAACAAATGCGTCATCCTTCGAATATCCTGCCTGAGTGAGCAGGACCTCGAACTTCTGGAAGAAATCTTGAGCGGTATCTTGCCCCTGGCGCAACCGCTCGATCTGATCTTGCGCGTCTCGCGCGAGGTTGGAGTCCACAAATCGCTCCTTCAAATCTTCCTTGAACTCCGTCCAAGAGACTGTCCATTCCTCTTCTTCCTCGTTGAAGTTCTGGTCCGAGTAGTTCTGGACCCATGCATCTACGTGATCTCCTCGGATGTAGGAGAGAACAACATCGATCCTTTCGGAGTCAGATGTGAGGTTGTTCTTCTTGTCACGGATGTATGTGAACATCGATCGCCACCAGCTCTTGTACTTGGACTTGTCCCCGTCATAGTCGTAAGGCTTGTTGACAAGGGATCGGCCTTTGATTTCGACATCGGCATGATGAGCGGGCGTGTGAGGAGCGGTTTCGGGTGCTTCGTTGGACATGATGGATCGGGGTGATGGGATCGGAGAGTGAAAGGGTGAAAGTGGTGATATGGGTGATGCGGATTTGGATGAAACAGGTGAGGGAATAGAGGTTTGGATGAATAGGGAGGGATCGCCTAGATCTGAAATAGAATCCAGGACTTGGTAGGGTGGGGAATGGTGGTGTGTATCGTAATGTAAGTAAAGTAGGTAGGTATCGTAACTGTCTACACTATTTTACCGACTACTGACTACGTATCTACGGAGCCCAAGAGCTCGTCACAAGTTCGCAATTGCCCAGCCGACGTCCCTCTGGTGTGAGGTAAGCCGAAGTTTTCCTGGGAAACGGGGGTTGACCCGTAAACAGCGCCCACTGAAGTGCAACTGCCAAAAGTTCGTTCTCGTGAGAGCGGCTACTTCCAGCACCCGAGGCAGTTATCTCTAACTGTTAGCCGGCGCTACTGGGACCAATACACACGTATGCGGATGTGCGCTGGGATTAGGAATCCGTCGATCTGTAAACAGGAAAGGGGATGGGGAATGTGCGATGATCAAACAGCAAAGTGCTGATCGACAATCAGGGATGTGTGGTAGGTGGTAGAAAGTAGTTCCGATCTTCTGTTAGCGACTGACTAAGCCACGAGACTCAACCAGGTACCACAGTAAGAACTAAGAAAGAAAGTGTTCGCGTTCGTAAGACTAGGCTAGGCCAGGTGTATAAACGAGATCGGAACTAAAGTACAATGATACTACACTACTGCTTATATACTAGTAAGTCTGTGTTTGAGACTCCTTGTCCATACGTGTTTCTACTAGGGATGCTCCACGCCCTTGATCCAGTGTTGTATGCTACTAGTCCGTGAAACCATTAAATACGAGTGGTATCTGCATGTAAGTAATAATACTGAAACGACCATGTGTGCTACGAGTGTCGGCGGTGTGTATACAATAGGGAGTCCATGAGGTATCGGCATGTATGATGTCATCCATGTGTTGGGTGTGTGTCCGACATGAGTACGGCTTCGGTAATGAAAAGGAGTATGATCGGTGACGAAACAGATGATGAAACAGTCCGTTGGTTGATAAGACAAGGCCCCGATAAGATATGATAAGATGTGAAAGTGTGAAAATATGGTCATTCATAACAGAGAGTGGATGTCATAGGGGACATAGCTCAGCTGGGAGAGCAACAGACTGAAGTGGAGGCGCGATGTTCCAATTCTTCTGGAGGTCCCCAGTTCAATCCTGGGTGTCCCCAATTATGTTGTTCTGCTCTTGTTTTCAATCCAGGGAACGACTCTTTTTGGAGCAACAACGGGGTATAATCGCAGATAAATAAGTATAACAAATACCGAATCCAACACTGTATTATATACCATAAGAATAACCGTTAACAACACCCTGCCTTCACGCGCGTCCTCTCCCGAGTTCTTCCACCACCCACCCTCAATGTCGTCCCGATATCAATAAACGACTCCCGTCCCGCCTCTGCGTACTCCAACTGCCTATCGCCTTCCTCTTCCTCACCGGCATGGGCTGCGAGGTATTCAAACACCTCTGCGACGCCCACACCCGACTTGGCCGACGCGAGAAAATGCGGCGTGTGCGAGTGATGCGAGCGGTGATATGCCGCGGGCGTGATCGTCGCGAGACTCGGTGTCCTCTTGGAGAAGAGCGAGGAGGGTGAGATGTTTCGGAGGGGAGAGGATGAAGAGGATCGGATGCGAGAGGAGGGCAAGAAGGAAGGAGATGCGCTCCTGGGTAATATGGACGGGGATGCGCTCCGGGGTAATATGGAAGGGGAGTTGCTCCGCGTCAGGACACTCGCTTCACGCGCTGTATAAGCAGAGTATACGCTCTCCCCATCGTCGAATGAGGAAGACGGCGTGTGGTAGATGGTCAGGGTCGTGTGCGTCGTCGTGACAGTCCCAAAGCGCATCGACGCGCTGGGCGAACGCATCTGCGGCGTGATCGTCGGTGTAATCTCCAATGGCGGCGTAGACGATGACGACGACGCCTGCGCACGACGTGACCACCCACTCCCGCTCTCCGGCAACCCCAACAGCTCCCTAACAAACGCCTGACCCTCCCTCTCCTCTACCCTCTCTCCTGTCCCACCAAATCCACTTTATTACCCACAACAACCGCCCTTCCCCTTCTCCTTCCAGTATCATCACTCCAGTCTGCGCCGTCTTTGAACACGGCCCACCACCGCTGCAGGTCGTGCAGCGTCTCGGGCCGATTCACGTCGTACACCATCACCACCGCGTCTGCGCCCCGGAAAAACGCAGAGGACAGCGAGGAGAAGCGTTCTTGGCCGGCGGTGTCCTATGTCCGCATCAGCACGATAGGTGAGAGGGGAGGCAGAGCACACGACGTACCCAAATCTGCAATACGACCTCGTCGTCTGCCCCTGGGACAGAGATGGTCTTGCTGATGAAATCAGCACCGATAGTCGCTCGGTAGCCAGTCGAGAAGCGCGATGTGATGTACTGTTTTATATTATCATGTCAGTCAATAGAGAGACAGAAAAGATATAGACATACCTGACTCCGCAAACTCGTCTTGCCCACCCCCGACGCTCCGATGACGACCACCTTGATCGTGTGTTGTACCATCCAGCGTCCTGATGCAGGCGGAACGCGAATAAATAGCAAAAGACGGGCTGGTGATGGTCGCAAGAAGCAAGAGGAGAAGTCCGATCGGTTCGGCCCGAATGAATTCCTGCACCAAAAAAGTATGGGGACACCCAGGATTGAACTGGGGACCTCCAGAAGAATTCTCCGGACAAAGAAAGTGTCACTTCAGTCTGTTGCTCTCCCAGCTGAGCTATGTCCCCGATTTCACTCAATCCCACCCGTGTTAAGTGCTTTTCTCATTTTTTATACGAGGAGAAATGGATCTCAAAGACACGGTCACCGGCATGTTTGAGGAGAGATCATCAGCTGATTCACGAGAAAATGACATAGTAGCCGTAAGCCGGAAGCGGAGAGTCAGGATGGTGGCGTGAACGCTGCAATGGGAAAGAAGCACTTGGAAGAGTAAACTTGCATGATGAATGAAGCAACTGATCCAATGCCCACCTGAGTCAACATATGAGGTACCTCCAGAGAGCGAGCCGTGCTAATAAAATGAACCTGGGTCAAGAACGAGGATGGATCAATAAATATTGAAGCTGGTGTTGGTGGAAAGCTCAATACGAGAGGTCGATGCGTCTCTTTTACTCAACTGTAATGAGCCTCAGCCATCATGGTCACTCTTCCTCCGCATACGAACACATGGATCTTACAATGCTTCAATCCTATCTGCGGAAATCCACAATCTGTTCCGCTGGCAAACCTATCGCAAACGTTTTCCCGTCCAGGTACGGTTGCAGCGGCGGCCACCGCTGTAGGCTCAACCGCCTTTCTTTCTTTTTGACGATTCATCTCCATGGACTTGCCACACCTCGGAAAGGAAACTGTAACATTTACTCGGAGTGAACATGCGAGCACCGGAGACGCGTAGAGTGATTGGAGTCGCTTACTAGGTTCGTGCAATGGATCTACGACGCGCGCGGTGAGTTTATCTGTTCAGTCTATCAAACGTTGTTGTAAACTAAACGTTGCTTAGAGCATGAAACTGCAAGAGCGGATAGCTATGTATAATCGGGTGGCACTGAATGTCGTGTGAGGCCGAAGACGCATCCGGAATACATTTTTCGACAGGTCAAATAGTGGCACAGGCAGGATCAAAGCTCTATGTCATATATGAGTGATGGTCGGATTAAGACGAAGTATTGTTGTAGGTTCCTGACTCTGGTATTGCGTGCTGACTTCAATCATTCGCACCTGATCAAATGACAGGGAAGATGAGAGTCAGACGGCGGCGAAGATCCCACGGCACGTCCTGCAGAGGCCTGAGGTAGGTGATTAGCTGTTAGCCCCCGGTGTCATGAACTAGCAGCTTCTTACTGTGGCTCCATGTGTGCGTTAGTGTGCTATGTTAGAGACATGAAAAGGAATCGAGAAAAGTTCGGGCGGCGGAAGCTGAGACGTGTCGTGAGGTGATTGAGAGACTGTGTCGCAATGTGAACCCTTCCAGGTCCCTAAGGCCTGAGGCCTGAGGTCCCACAGCCGAGAGAATGGAGTACCACCTGTTCGCCTAGAACAACTTGTCCACGGAAGAAGGACTGCCGCTTCCACGACAAGCTCGCTCGTCCATCAGTCAGCTGCATTAAGGAGCGATATTCGGAGGGCACAATCAATGAACGCTGTTTTCCCAGACCCGAGACATGATGGGTTCAAGGGCAGTAATGAAAAGATACGTGATATGATATTACTCGGCGGATGTCAAACATCTTCATGAATCTAGCTCGTGAGACAGGCATGCGCGAACCAAGACCGGTTATGGGTTGACATGATTTGGAAATGACCCCATGGGCAAGAAGGCAGTCGAGAGCGAGAGGCTGGAAAACGCGGGGAGATGATGCGAATGAATTGGGAGCCTCAGGGAAGGAGAATGATATACCCGGATGGCAGTGGTGTGATACCTCGGTTCGCGTGCGAGGCGGGATCAGAGCGCCCCCGGCAGTAAACAATGAGCTAGCATGTACGTACGTCTATGGCTAGCAAGACATAGACACACTCGGTGGGAGAGATCTTCTTGTTCGGATACGTACCCCGCATCACGCGCTGCGGGGCGTTGGAAATTCTCTTTAGCCACAATATGCCCGCGAGATCCCGATCTTAGTAACATGTGGGGAAGCAATCATTATTACGTACCGCCGATACAAAAACCCCCCCAAACTCTCATTCTTTGTGCTTCTGCTCCCACCTTTTTCTACCGTCTCTCCCACACGATATAGCTGTGCTTCTCCTTCTTCTCCTTCTTTCCTCACGAAACAGCTAACGACGTGATAGTGATGTCGTCCGATCTCGAGAAAGGTTCCGCGCCGCTGCAGGCCAACGCCCCGCCGACGCTCGCGGAGTACAGCAACGCCGCGCACCATGGCTTGGGCCATTACACGAACACGACCCTCCACACGCCGCGCCCGTCGAACATTGGGAACCCAGGCAGCTTGGGCCTCTTCAGCTTCGCGTCGACCACGTATGCCCCGGGTCTCGCGTCTTTCGTTTTTGCGTTACTCATCGCCGGAACAGGTTCATGCTATCGATGTACAACGTCAACGCGCGCGGGATTCATACGCCCAATGTCGTGGTGGGTATGGCGGTGTTTTGTGGGGGCCTCGCGCAGCTCCTTGCGGGCATGTGGGAGTTTCCTCGGGGAAATACATTTGGTGGAACTGGTGAGCATGTCGTTTTTGCTCTACTGGGCTGCGGTCCTGGTGTTATGACCCATCCGCCCAGCGTGGTTGGTTCAGGCGCGTGTATAACTTCTCCATATCGCTCCCACCCCGCATTCATTTCGAATTGCAAATTCCGCGGGGATGATGATGAAGTTGCTTCTGTTCCATCTTTTTCTGATTGCAAGACAATGTGGACATGTTTACTGATTTGGGTTATCATCACAGCGTTCAGCTCTTACGGCGCGTTCTGGATGTCCTACGCCACCATCCTTATTCCCAACTCTGGTATCCTCGCCGCATACGATGCGGAGCCCGAGTCCCTCGCTGATGCGCTTAGCATTTTCCTGTTTACTTGGATGATCGTTACATCCATGTTCCTGTACGTGGTTTTTCTCGGTTCTCAACTCGCACTAACCCAACTCACTCAGGATCGCATCTCTTCGGAAATCCGCTGCATTCATAGCGCTATTCGGATTCCTTACACTCACGTTCATGCTCCTCGCTATCGGAGAGGCCGGTGCGCACCTAAATGTCACCAAGGCCGGTGGCGCATTTGGTATCATCACCGCGTTTATCGCGTATTACATTGGGTTAAGTGAGCTGTTGAATGCGGAGAAGAAAGCGGTTGCGACGCTGCCTTTGATTCCGTTCTAGGAAAAGTTGGATTTGTATTTATCTTACTTTGCATGATTTACTTGTACGTTCCTATTTCGCTATTACCCTCCATGAAGGGACGCATTGCTATTATTGAATGACAGTTTATGTTATGGCTTGGGTCTTGTGGGTGCGCGTTCGCTCGTTCAGCACTTCTTCCTGGCTTCTTTGCTCGAAGCTTCTTCCTGGCTTCTTTACTCGGGATGGTTGCAGCCTGTCAAGGGACATAGGCAGGCCATCTTTCACATACACGCGTATGATGGTTCCGAGTTTTTGACACCGACGGGTGACTGAGCACCGGACCGTTATGTCACCGGCGATTATCAGCTCATTCTCACCAGGTACTGCTTCTTGGGGATGAGGAAGGGTGGGGTAGATATCATTGTGCTCCATCTGGCTAGTGCAAGTATCCCCATAAAATGGCGGTGTCAACGGTTCACTAGAAGTCGAAATCACAATCTGATGGTGCGCCGACGGGAGGTGTCTGTCTTTCTCAAGGTTTACTTGGGGGTACGCAAAAGGCGCTAGCAAGTGAGCCGGGGATTGTCGGACATGGGGTCACTTGGCAGAGGACTCAGGAGCAGACTCAAGTGTACTGCAACTTGAAGGAACAAAAGGCCAAATAGAATCTTTGGGGCTTAAGCCTTAATCCCAAAGTCACGAGTACCGCAAGGATACGGAGTTGAGCATGTGGCGCAAAACAAAGGTGCGAGCACTGTAGAGGCACTACCAGGGATCGAACCTGGGTTACGGGAAGATACGACAGACAAATATCAGAATCCCGTGTGCTACCGCTACACCATAGCGCCATAGGCGGCTGGCGCAATAAATTCTGAGTAAGCAGGCGAGTGTTCTCAGAGAAATCAATCCTCAGAAGTTCAATGTTCAATTTAACGGAGAAAATGAGAGCACGATTGTGCTGAAAAAAGCGTGCTAGGCCTTCGAAGATGACAAGTTCAAGTTGTTGCCGAATTGGGTTTGCCCACAAACAAAAGTCACACGTGACGGGCATTTTTACGCGACGACCACGACCCCGACCTTTGCCAAGGACTCCAATCGACTGAGGGAAGCGACTCGCGTCGCCGATTTCTGGTCATTACATCTGGGACATATCCACACCGGGCAGCTGGTAGCCAAGGTGTGTATATGGAAAATGCGGGTACGACGCGCTGACTGTTCGGTTAGCAGCGAGGACCACGACCCAGCTCGGCAAGGTGTGTATTACCGCTGTCTTTGCATCGTGGTCGTGCGCTGACCCCGAACGCAGGATTTCGCGACGCAATCATTGCTTCCTACTCTCGCAGTTCATCACCCCGAACAGGACCTGCCAAGGTGCGTCTCCATCTGCTCTGGCGTTGCTCGTCGGCCGCTCACATCTCACCAGCCACAATTACGACTTATACCCCAAAACATGTCCTCCCCCGTCCAATGTCAAAAGTGCGGCGCCCGTGTCGTCGGCGCGCGCACACTCATGCCCGTCTCCGATCTCCAACGCATCCACCGCTCAGGCCCGTACCTGCCCGCCCCGGAAATGCGCAAGTATCAGGAAACGCTCAGCGACGTCCAGGCCGATATCACCACGCTGCAGACCGTCATCGCCGAGCTAGAAGCGTACGCGTCCCAGATCCGCACCATCGTCTCACCGATCCGCTTTGTCCCAATGAGATATTGTGTCTCATCTTCCAGGCGGTCTGTGCGGACGCGACCCCCGAAACGAGGAAGTCGCCCTTGGTGCTGAGCAGTGTCTGCGCAAGATGGAGGCAGGTGGCAGTGGGAACCCCGCATTTGTGGACCTTCATTTATGCTGCACCGCGTCGGCAACGCCTGCTTTGTTCCGATGACGAGGCACCCGCAATTGATTTGGAGAGGGAAGAAGTGATTCCGATGTATTTGACGCGCTCAAGGCTGATGCCTCTGAGCATTGACGTGGCGACGCAGAGTGCCCTCTGGTACGCATGCTGTGCAGCGAGGCGCACCGCTGGACCGACGTTTTATTCAACATGCCTTCCGCGTGCCTCGGCGAGATGTACCAGAGCCTCGACGCGAAGCCGCTGCCCAATTTGACGAGTTTGACTCTTGTAGACCTTACGAATGCGAATGGACTACCATCAACAGCACCCACACCTTCGCCCCTCACAGTCTTCGCGCACACGCCCAAGCTCCACATGCTATGCCTTGGCGGGCCCGTCTGCGATTTGGCCAACCACCCGCTGCCCTATGGACGCATTTCCAGTCTGGTCCTGTCGTGGATGTCCGAACCGCTCGGAATCCTCCGCGTCATCGAGCTCTGCACGAGCGCGTACCACGTCAGCGTGAGCGACACCTTTATCGAATGCGATGACGAGTCGACGCTCCCGGACGTGAGCACCAAAGCTCCCTTTGTTTCGTTCCGCCTTGGCGGGCTCGGGCGCATCCAGCATGTGCTCGAGCATATCAGCGCACCTGCCATGTTCAGCCTGAAGCTCGCCCCCGCAGATCCGAGCAAGCCGTGCCCTAGCGCGTACGAGCTCGATGGGATGATCGATTTCGTGCGGCGCTCGGCGGCGAGTCTGCGGCGGCTGGAGATTGCGTGTGTGAGGGTGAGCGATGTGGGGTTGCTGCAGCTGTTGGCTGCGACGCCTGGCTTGACCGAGCTGTATGTGCACCAGCAGCCGGGGAAGGAAGGCGACGCCGTGATCACGCCGCTGGTCATCCGCCGGCTCACGATTCCGCGCGGAAAGGGGGAGAAGGGGGAGGTGCTGGTTCCGAATTTGAAGGGGATTATGTTTAATTGGCAGAGGCGGAGTAGGCCGGTGGGCAAGGTGGAGTTGTTGAGGATGGTCGAGTCGCGCGCGCCGGCGATTATTGATGTGGATGCGGAGGTTGTGGAGGAGGATGTGGGCCGGGCGTTGAAGGCTGTGACCTTTAGGGGATTCGAGGATGAGGAGGAGGAGGAGAGTGAGGCGGAGGAGGTGGTGAAGAGGTTGAAGAGGGTGCCCAAGTTTAAGATGGTGATTGGCGCGGTTGTCGTGCGCGGTCCGGTTTGAGTGTAGGAAAAGGCGACGTGAGGTGAACAATATAAAATAAATGCTTTGCTTGGATATTCCTTCTCTTCTTGTTCTTGTATCTGTCATATCAACGCGGACATGGATACATACCTGTACAGCTCTTGAAGGCATGCAGTAGGTTAAGACTTATGTGGGTCTGCAGATGTCAGAGCGGTAAACAACTGCCAACTGGTCATTCAAATAAGCGATGGCGGCCGTAAGTGGACATAACATCGGGGACACTTGCGCTAAGGAGTGGAGGGCCGGGGAGTGTGGCGTATCTACCAACCAAGGCGTGTCGCGGGCTGTAAACTCGGTCACATGGGTAAAAAGGATGCAAAACAATTTATGGGGGCACCCAGGATTGAACTGGGGACCTCCAGAACGATGAGCCTTTGTGTGAACACTTCAGTCTGTTGCTCTCCCAGCTGAGCTATGCCCCCGATGACCCGCTCTCAACGCGTCCGCACGGGAGGGCGAGTATGTCCACCGTAACTTGGTGGTTCAGTTTGAGCTCTCAGGAACATTTGGGCGGACAAAGTGTGGGTGTGGCGTAATTGTGATGATTGTCTCGAATGGGTGGTGAGATAATAGCACCCATGCGATTTGAGATTACATGTCAGATTATCGACAGTAGGACCGAAAAGCTTCATTCTACGGTCATGGGGACACCCACTGCCAGGAATGAACGAGCTGAGCTATTCCCCCGTTGACCAGCGGGTAAATACGAAGGAAGTCCGATGCACAATTGAGAGTACTATTACTTGTCAGTATCAGGAGCATGGTTGTTCTTTTCATATCGAGTATGTGGTCCGGGTACAGTATTTGCAGTACTGAGTTCACAGGAATCAAAACACGTCTGCGTGATCCTTAACCGTCATCATCTGAGGTAGGAGCATAGGGGTTGATGTGTACATTGACTCGAAAAGTATGTACTATGAACTCATTTCGAACGGTGGTGAGTTCATATAGCAAACCTCTGATAGTCAAATGCCAACGGTACCAAAAAGTTTTTCAGCGTGTTGCCTGCGAGTGTTGCATGGGGACACCCAGGATTGAACTGGGGACCTCCAGAAGACGCGTCAATCTACTATTCCACTTCAGTCTGTTGCTCTCCCAGCTGAGCTATGTCCCCAGCGAACGTTGGCACCCAGTCTCCGAGCTCATATAACACTTCACGATTGACAGAACGCCTCATTCGTGTGGCGTGCCCCGTGAATGAACGACGGTAACCGACCTCCCCAAAAGAAGGCCGCCTGCATGTATCGAAAACGGGAAGGGCTACACAATATAGGACGGCCACGGAAAAGACGACTTGCACGATTGGTAAGAGTTTAGGACATGAGAGCAGACCCGTGTAGCTATGCGCCGTCACGAGGCGCGGGACACTAAGCGCCGAAGGCGGGTTGAACTCATCCTGTTTGTTTTCTGACACGAACAGGTAGTAATGTTGCTGTATGAGTAGATGGGGAGCTGAGTGCGAAAGGATTCCCCTCATAATGCCTTCCGTAATCAGCAAGTGAAGCACGAGTCAGATGAAAACAGTGCACGGAACAATGTACTAGTATCAACTACGGAGAGGGCCATCCAGCATAATATGTAGAAGTCTGATGTCGTGCATTAATCTAGAGCGGAAGTCGCTGATCCACGAGTGTACCATCAAAGCAAGCCAAGACCAAGGAGATTGAGTATCGCATCGGTATCGATGACCGCCGTGAGATTAGGAACCTTCGAGGAAGTTCCTTCGTTTCTTCTACTTGACAGTCGCAGTGTGACTTATCGGTGAAAGGAACCTGAGGAAGAACTGATGTCCGCCGACATGCCCGGGCCGGTTCAAAACCTGTACATCACGTGTGTTGTGTTTGCCCTGCAGGGCCCAGAAGCGCAACCGCCCTGTCAATGTCATTTGGTTCCGTCTTTCATTCGTCCATCCATCTCTCGAATGTCAACGTTTCATGACGTGCTTCTCTGAGCTGTCACCTCCCTGTCAGCAGTGTATTCGACTAGCTGTATGGCGTGTAACGACACCTGTATCCTCCTCCTGGACGATTGACATCAAGGCAATTTGCCCTGGGACGTACACTGGAGGCAATGTCACTAGCAACGGCTCTTGGGCGCCAATCTTTACCAATGGGTCTCGCATGTGGAATGCCTGATCCAAGCCCATGATGTCCGCAATGTCAAACTGATGCTGGTCGCTGATGTCGTTCTCACCCAGGTACGCATTTTATATAAGATTATGATACGCATGCCAGAACCAGTTCTCTCCCACCCGCTTTCCCTTCGTTTATTTCTTCTTCGTTCTTTGCGCCCAGGTTGGCACTGGGATTGATTTTCCCTTTCCTTTCGTTTTCGTTTGTTCTTCGTTGTTTGAAAAAATGTCTCCTTCCCTCTTCGTTCTTTTAACCCTCACCGCCGCAGTTCGCGCGACAAATGACTGGTCTCAGCCATGCTTTGACGGCGTTTGCGAGTACTCGCTGCCCGCTACGACGACGCGAGCTCTGGGTCCATGAAAATCGTGCGTCCATCACGTCGTGTCAATTTGCAAAAGCGCTAACCCGACAACCTGACATTTTCTGTAGTGGGGGTCGGCCGACGCGATATCGGACATAACGCCTGCCGCCGGGTGGGATATCATCGACTGTACGCCAGACGTGGTGTCCCAGGACATTCGCCTCGTATGTACCGGCGCGTCTACGGATTGCGATCACCTCTATCAGAATATCGGCGCTGTGAACAAGATTGTGCGGTTACCTGAAAGTGTACGTTTTTGTCCTTGCCCACAAAGTTTACACCTCATAACATGCACACTTAGTGCGGCGCCAACGCATTCGCACGCGTCGCCAAAGCATGGACACCCACAGACCAATCTGTACCCGCGCGCCTAGCTCGTCGCGCGGATCCTCAGCCCGTGCGCGCGCTCACGCTCGACACGGACTTTGCATCGGCAGATACATCCAAAACCGGGACAGTCAACTTCGTCCTCCAGGGTGCCAACGTCCCAGGCGCCGACGCCGATCTTTCCTCCGTCTCGACAACTGCGAACATCAAGCGCATGCGCCGGGTGACACAGCGTGGTTCGGGGATTTCCTGAAAAACGCGATCAAAAGTGAGTCGCGTTTGCCTTTTGTATGTATTCATTACTGATGCGTGCGGTCTAGCGATAACCAATGCGCTGCAGAACAAATGACGAGAGCAACTCCTTTGATATACCTTGGACGTGGACCAGACGTTTAATCTGTTAACGAGACGTGAACTGCCCGCCTGTTTCGGCGAAGCTGAATATCGATGTGCAGGCCAAGGCGCACGCGGTCGCGACGATTGGGGTCGCTGCTTCGGGCACAATCGTCCCGCCTAACATCGACAACTTTGGGATTACTGCAAGTGGGTGACTGTTTGCTTGTGGGTTCCTGTTTTATATTTCATGCATTCTAGCTCTCAATGCGGAACTTGCTGGTGGGATTGATCTCCAAGCCGACGTCGCTGTGAGTACTGTTATCCCTTGAACAAAGCAGTCTTGGATGCTCATCTTGTTATTCAGGGCACAATAGACTCTGGAAAAATCAAACTCTTCGAAATTGGTATTCCCGGCCTGAGCTTTCCTGGGCGAGTCAACCACACACACCCTTCTTCTCTCTAGCTGACATCAAGTCATAGGATCCTCGAAATCGGACCCACATTCCAAATCAACGCTCAGGCTCTCGCAAAGTGGACGTCAACCTCGATATGAGCATCGGCGTCGTGTACTCCATATCCAACGCGTCCTTTGTTTTCCCTCCCGGGATCGACGACAGCAAAGATGGAGGCAACTTCAACATTGGCGATACGCGTACGTCTAACTTACTTCCACCACCACGCAGCGCGCTAACCTCATGCCAATATAGCTCTCCAACTCTCCGTAACCCTGCTGTGAAGGCCACCGGCACGCTCGAGGCGCACCTCATCCCCTCGATCAACCTCGGTATCTCTGCGCTTGGGGATGTCGTCGATGCTAGTGTGTTCCTCGAACTCGATGCAAAGGCGGCGTTGACACTCGAGCTGGAGGCGAGCGCGAATGGGACTGTGGTCGTGGATAACGGGGCGTCCTATGGGAATGCGACTGCGAGCGCGGATGCTAACGAATATGGAAACGCGACCAGCACTGATACTAGCGGATACGCCAATGCGACGAGCACTGAGGCTAGCGTGTACGAAAGCGCCACGTCTAGCGCCTATGAAAGCGCGGCCGTCAGCTCTGCAGCCAGTGCTTATGAGAGTGCAAGCGCGAGCTCTGAAGCCGCCGCGGTTTCTGAGAGCGCGGCTGCTTCCTCGCAGTACAGCTATGCGAGTGCGACTACGGATGCATCAAGTGCTGCAGAGACCGCCAGCGCTTCATATGGAGATTACACGGACAACGCTGGAGAGAGCGATGCTTACGCCACGGACTATGCTGCCGATTTATACTCGTCGTACAAGCGTTCCTCCGTACCCGCCTTAGTCTACGCAGCGCGTGCCGCCGAACGACGTAACCTCTTGTCGACCGTAGACAAGCGGAACGTCACCACCGATGGAGACGCGACCTTTGGAGGATGCTTCACCGTGTCAGCCGGGTTCAACGTGAACGTCGGCGCTCAAGGCAGTTTCTTTGGGATTTTCGATCAGAGCGTTTCCAAGACACTCTTTGGGAAGGATTTCCAGATATTCCAGGTTTGTTATGTTTGTTTTGTGAAGAATGTTAATGCTGAATTGGGTTGTAGAAATGCTTTGGGGACAAGGCAAGAAGATCTTTACTAGCGCCTTGGGAGACGACAAGTCTTACTCGGCGGGGCGTTTTGGATCTGCTGTGCCCGGCATCGGGTTTGGCTGACCCGCAGTCCGTGGTTGATGAGAGTGTTAGTGCATCGAGGTATGTTCTCAAGATTGTTGGCCACCGTAACGAATTCTGACGTATACATCATAGTATTGAATGATTTGATTTTCATGGCGCGGTCTTTCCTTAAGCTTTATTTATGGCCTTTTAAAATTCTTGGACACTAGTCATACCCATCGCCTTAGTGCTTCCTTTTGCCGCCTCGCGCTACAATTACACAATCTTTTCATTCGAGGACGAGTCTGAACAATGAATTGAATCGGAAGATAGGCATCTACCATGAGGCGTCGGGGTCTTTTGATCTTTCATTCATTAGACTTCTTTCATGGCTGAAACAAAGAACATTTATAAAGCACTACCAATGAAACCACCATTCTCAATACAAGACCAGAAAGCACGTCTGTCCCATACCGCCTTTACGCGAGAAACAAGGATGGAAGGTGAGCCGTTCACGACTACGAACAGCGACCTCATTCATGACCGGCATTTTGAAGCTGCTGAAATGATGAGCCACTCGACACCCTGCAACGATCGCAAAGACTTTTATTCTTTTGATGTGAGCTCCATTGCGCGTCTTCTTCACGATCCTTTTGCTAATAGTATCCCCAGACGGGCGCCATCAACCTAGCGAGTCGCCTGAACCGCGTCAAAGCGAGATTACAGAAAGAACTAGCCACCGTAAAGCCCACCGTTGAACCACCAGAGCAAGACCACTCCAGCTTGATCATTGCTGAGCCTTCCGACGACAAGAAGGAACTAGACGCCTTAGAACCCACCATCGATGAACAACCAGAGCAAGACTGCTCCAGCTTGACCATCGCTGAGGCTCCCGACGAAGCTCTACTCGACCTCAAAGACGACGTCGCCTATCTCGACCAGCGCATGGCGCGGATTGAGAACAGTCTGGAGAGCAGCCACGCATACCAGAGCAGGCTCTCGACTCAGCTAGACTCCTTGTCATGTCAGATCGTCGATTTAGAGACGAAGTTGAAGGATAGGATTTGGACGATGGAGAGAGAGATTACGTCTTTTGAAGAGTCAAGGTGGAGCGCGCATGTCCCGAGAGTGTTGTCCGCGATGAAGGACCTGGAGACGCGCGTTAATGTCTTGCTTGTGTTACTCCTCGGACTCGTTTTGTGTCTAGCGATGTTCGTTTTGTGGGTTCTTGTTTATAGACCTAGCGTAGGTTGATAGTTTGTCCTATTTCATCTTGTTCGAGAAATACTGATTTCCTCAGCCCCGACGCTGTTTACATCGACATTGACTCACCCCAGACATACCCTATA